CTTAAAATATGTTTATATTATATTATAAGTAAGATTGCCGGGGCTGCTAAACTTTCAAGCAAATCATTTTTTAAAGCACAAAGTGGTTAAGAAAAATGAAAAGAATTGCTTACTTAGCAGGCCTCCTAGTATCTAAACACACTTGGTGCTCAGCTTAAACGATGTGTGCTTTTAACACACAACAAGACTATTTTACATTAAACCAATCTGTAAGTGTTCACCAAGTAAGATTCCTCCCAAGAGCAAGTTCTAATTTTCCAGTTATAGAAAATTTATAGAAGATGAGATCAAAATGACAATATATTTTCACCTATCACTTAGCTGCATTTCCTCTTTTGATACACCCAATAAGGCATCAAGTTTGTTCATTCTCTTTTAGATTAGGAATAGAGTTATAATGAATGCATCTTTCAGCAACCCAGGCCAAGGACAACTATTGCTCAGGGCAACAAACTTTGGTATAGTTAGCTGTCTAAATGAGGCTCGAGTTTGGTTTATAAAGCTAGGCAGAACACAGGGATTCTGAGCCAATTAGCCAGGTCAAAAGCTTTGATTTGCTGTCCTAAACTACGGAGTTCATAGGCTCGAGGTACACATTAGTAGGGCACACATTAGTGCTCAATCTTTGCCACAGTCCACCACGGTTTTCTTATTTTCATTTTTTCAAGCTCACTATTTTAAGTGATACCAGCCTCCGCCACTGTGTTATATGATCTTGCTGATACTGCAGATAAAATATAGCCACAATTTACTTTGGTAATTTAATACAGTAGAAGGAGTTTGAGAAAATCCTGGCTGTTTGCATGCTATTTCAGGATGACGTGACCCACCCTGATCCAGAGAAATTGAGTTAAACTGGGTCTGGTGTTTTCCCCTCTGTTTTGTAGCAACATTGTTCTGGGCTGTTTAACCCCAAGAAAGCTGAGAACACTAACCAGATCAGGAAGGGAAGCCCAGTGCTCAGCCCTGATGTAAGAATAGGTCTTCGGCATCAGTTAGTACATATTTTTGGAAAGCCATGTCTGATTTTCCTACTCCCATTTCTAGTTTAGGGATTTAATCATTTCTTACAGAAACTCTTTCTAAAATTAGGTGAAGGAAGAGCGACTCTGCCTTCTTCACTGGGTTTATAATGAATTCACACCTGGCTGCTGGAGGGAAGTCCCTTGTGATGGGCAACACGAATGCCATCCAGAATTTTTCTGCCTTGTTTGGACAGTCCATCACAATCAACGTAGCTAAGCGTCTGCTCAACATGTCACAAAATCGTGACAGTGAGCCACACAAGCCCCGATATTATACACTCCCCAAATTTAGTCTACTGGTTTTCCTAAAACACTGTAACTCTCCTAGTTTTCATGCCTTTGGATGCGCTATTGCCTTTAACATGAATGTCGGTCCAAATGTTGGGTGGGTTGGTGTGTCACAGTGGTTTTTATCCATGTGAAGAAAAGGGGCAGATGAATGGGAATCGCGGAGAATTTTCTGAATACATTGGCATCTTTCCTCAATACTTCTTTCCAGCTCCCCCTGGTTTAGAAGGTCACGTCTGTTAGCCCATGTTTTCCAGTGGAATGAAAGGTTAGTCAGATGATGTGTTTCCTAACTGCCCAAACTGGGGCCCGACTTCTTTCTTTCGAGATGTCTTTCTTAACTTGAGACAATGTCTCACTCACTCTATAGCCAAGAATGGCCTCAGAAACTTGGTATCTTCCTGCCTCTGCCTCCAAAGTGCTGGCATTGCGGGTATATACCACCACATCTGGCTTCTCACTTCTTCCTTTAGATTTTTATTTTACCTCTTTTTCTTCTTCCCATTCTGGTATTTTGAACAGGTGATATATGACAAGACCTCCATTGAATGCTAGAGATGGAGATGTGGGGAGAATACATGAACTTGTTCCTGCATCACAAAGCCTACAAGGATGGAATGAGGGAATGAACAATCTAAGGAGGAATGGAATGAAGTACACTATGAGAGTCACACGCTAACAAGGGAGGCAGATTCATGGAGGAGGGCTTTGTTGGCATCCCCGGGCTGGTGGGACAGATAGAAACCTTGTGTTCTACAGAGAGACCCCCCCCCCCCACTGCCTCCTTCATTCTCTTGTCATCCCACACAAGCCAAGTTACCTGTCCCCTTCAAAACTCAGCTGGACTACCACACTGGGGAGCAGGGGATCTGATTTCCTGAGCAGCCACAAGGAGGAACCCTCCAGAAAATTAACTTCCCCAGCATCAAATCTAAAACAACAGGAAACAGGAGGTGAGAGGGAACTGAGGACCAGCTTCCCACTGCTGTCTCTGACTGCTCTGGGTTTCCTTGCACACCTCTCAGAGAGTTATTCTCCATAAAATGAATGAACAATAGCTTTCATTTTTGAGGCGAGGTTGCACTGTGTAATTCAGACTACCCTGAAACTTCAGACCCTCTTTCCTCTATCTCTCATGTGTTGGCATTACAAGCACTCATCACCACACAAGGCTTGTGAACACACTTTCCCCAGTCACCTGTAGTGTGTCTCTGCAACCTGTCATGAAGCAGCAATAGGGAAGTAACCCATCACATGAATTCTGCCTTTTCTTTGTCTCTGGATGGCCTCTCTCCTCACTGCGAAATCATAAACTTATTAAGCCTATAAAATCAACTGTGCACATATTATTACTTGTCTTTGATCTTTCTTCATAAACAATCCAGGATATAACAAATAGAACTGTGAATATCCAGTTATTCTTCTATTAGCATCAAAGCCTAAAGAATAGAAACTCGATTAATTCCTCTCTGGAATTTTTCTTGAGGGTCAAGGAGAAGGCTCAATGAATAAAATGCTTGTTGCATAAGCCTTAGGGCCTGGGTTCAGATCCCTAGAACCCCCTAAAAATCCAATTACTATGGCATATGCCCATTACCCCAACACTAGGAGCTTGTGGAAACTCAAGGATAAAAAGGACTCACTGGCCAGCCCAGTCTGCCTAACCAAAATGGAGAGCTTCGTGCTCAGTGAGACCATGTTTCAATAAAAATAAGCTGGAGAAATGGTTGAGGAAAAACATCCTGATGTCAACCTCTGGCCTCAATACATGTTCCATACGGGTGAGTGCACTTGCACACAAATGCGCGCACACATACACACACACACACACACACACACGCACGCACGCACGCACGCACGCACGCACACGCACACGCACACACACATTCCAAAGGAAATAAATGTTTGCTTCTTCCATATCTTTAAACCAAAATGACTTAACTTATTGACAATTTGTTTTCTTGTAGTTATAAACACTAATTGAGCAGATGTTTTGGCCCACTCTAATGGTGGGAATCACTTATCTGTGTTGTGTCCACGGCTTTTCTGGGGTCTGCATCTTTGACTGGACTGACCCTTATCCATGCTGTGTCCGTGACTTGTCCAGGGTCTGCAGCTTTCACTAAGCTGCATACAGATCTCTGCCCTCCCTTCCAGAGTTTACCTTCCACAACAGACTGAAGAACTATATAAGCCAAAGAACTTGGTGTTCGCTTGCATTGGTCCCAGAGACCACTTCTCTCCTGAACCATCTGACTATCCAGAGCACCTACCTTCCAAATACATGCCGTGCTTCCTGGAGCAAGCCCGTGTGTGCCCCAGAGGTGTGGAAACCACTTCTCTCCCTCTCTCACTCTCATGCTGTAGTTCTGGTAGAAGCAGGACCTTTCTTCACCACTGTCATCTCCTTTCTCCTTCTCCACTTTCCGCCAGATTCTGCACAATCCATACAACTTCTCAGGTTGTTTCCTGTTCCGCCATCTTTGTTTGAAGTTTTATAGACATATTTGAACTTTCTTCAATGGCGTTTGTCCTGACATCTCATCTAAAACCTTGTGATGGGTTGCTCAGTTTGCAGCTGATGCCAACAATCCAAGGTCAACAAGTGTTCAAAGATGGCAGAGTGGTCAAATATATCATTGATATATTGGCAACACGAGCACTCCATGGGAGATGTGTACAGATCGTTTCCCTGGTCTCTCTCTATATCATTCCCCCAGCAGAATTAATATTTATTAAATTAGTGAATGAGCTGATGGATGTACAGAGCTCTATTTAAAATGTATACAGGGATGAAGAGATGGCTCAGCAGTTGGGTCTAAGTCCTGTTCTTTGAGAAGTCATGTTCCAAGCACCCATGTTAGATGGCTCACAATCTCCCATTACCTCCAGATCTGACACCTTCTTCTAGACTATAAAGGTAACTGAACTCACGCATTCACACAATCATACACATCCATATAAGTTTTAAAGGACATTTTAAAAAGATAAAATGTATGCAAACTTGTGGAATGATGTCTCATTCCTGCATGTTAATGGTGCCAGAGAAATATCACCCTTCCAATATGATGCCACTGGATCCCATCCTATCCCTTCATCTCCTAAACTCTGATGTTTTACCTGCAGGATTCTTGCAGTGTGTTACACTTTTGACTTTTCATCATTCTTTCATTTTAATTTTTATTTATTTTTATGTATTTGTATGTTTTGCCTGTATGTATATCCACCACAGTACATGCCTGGAGCACACAAATGTCAGAAGAAAACATTGGATCCCTTGGAACTGGAGATATAGATGCTTGTGAATTACTATGTAGGTGCTGGGAACTGAAACTGGGTCCCCTGCAAGAGCATCAAGTGCTCTAACCTCCGACCTATGTCTCCAGCCCCATACCCTGTACCATCCCTACTTCTGTTTACACCTTTGAGTTCTAATTCTTCTTCCCATTGACTGATCCTCAAACAGTGTCTGAACAAACTTAATGACAGGGTGTGTGTGTGTGTGTGTGTGTGTGTGTGTGTGTGTGTGTGTGTGTCTGAGAGAGAGAGAGAGAGAGAGAGAGAGAGAGAGAGAGAGAGATGGGCTGTGAACCCAATCCTAACCCTTACTGTTGGGAATGCCACAATTATCCCAGTCAAAATCATTTGTACAGATAAAGGAAATGAATACTACTGCTAATACCTTACCAACCGAGAATGCTTTTCTTCATCTGTTCAGGAAACTAAGTCATAAAATCCAACCTAGGGAGTTGAAGGGAGGAAAAAAGAAGAAATGAAGAAAAAAAGGCATAGATATCATATTTCCCCAGAGGGAGTGCCTTGGGCAATCATCTGCCGAATTCTCCTCAGCCAGGCACATACTTCAACTAAATTGTATTGTTGTTATTGCCTACTAGAAGAAGGCACAGCATTCCCCCAGGGCACCTCTTCAGGTGGACCCCAAATTCGCTCTGCGTTCACTGCTCCCACACTCACTCAGCTTTTCCTCAAACTTTTGAATCATAATTCACCCAGATTATTAGCAATTTTCCTTCCTTATTGCATGATTTCTGTCTGCCCCGGGTGGGTTTTCTTTTAATTAGAAGAAAGAGAGAATGGAAACGTTTCCATTGTAAACACACACAGAGGTTCTGTTGGCAAATATGAGTCTGGCAGAAGGAAAGCCTGTCCGTGGTCAGCTCAGCTGCAGTTGATTGGCTCAAAAACAAGACCAATTTTGAGGGAAATTAGAATACATTTTTTAAAGTGACAATTTTCTCCATCAGGTAGATTACACTATTTCCTGTTATTTTATGATACTGATATTTCACTTATACATTTTTCTCCAGCTCCCATAAAATTTTCCATCTGGAGTGAACTTTTCTAATCTCTCTCTAAGCTATTGGATTCAACTTCTCTTTCCTTTTGCCCTTCCTTTCTTCTTTTTCTTCTCATTCTTTTCTCCTACCTCTCTTTTCAAATGTCCGTTTCCATGAACCTCTGTGGACACCAGCAAGCACACATTTGCAAGCGCTAAAGAGCTTATCCATTCAGAAAGCCAGGCCTGCAGGCAGGGTGGGGGTGGAAACCTGAGGAGCTACTGAAGTTACCTCTGCCTGAAACCTTAGCTCAGGCCTCCAACAGCTTACAACAAAAATCCTTCAAAATTAAGAGTCGTACGGTTTCCAGCTGATAGACATTTTCCACACAGGAGATGAAAGAGCAGGTACAGCCAGGGTTTCCTTCAAAGGGGAGGGATGGCAGTTGGCTGTGGTTGTAGGCAAGGGGCGGGGGATAAATGCTCGCTAAAAGCTTAAATCGTACCAAGCAGTTCTTTTTCTGACCCCCCTCTCCCAATGGAACTGTAAAGTCTTCCCAGGCAAAACCAGGCAGAGTGAAGGAAAGAGAACAAAGGCTGGGGGATCACATGGATGAAGTTACAGGCTGATTACAACTCATGTGATGAGATTTTATTACTGCGGGAACAAGATGGAAAACATTTCTCTGCGGACATTATTTCCTGCCGCTGGATTACAGTGGGCTGTTTCTTTCTTTCAGACAAAGTGGCCTGTCAGTTGGCTTCCCCACTACACACACACCCGCTCACCTTTGTTAATCGGCCATTCAGTGGTGTAACTTCGCCCCACTAGCTGAAGTCTGCCTTCTGCCCTGTTCTTGCTGCGGGAGTTTTGTTGTCATTTGCAGATTTTGGAGAACATTCCGTGGAAGTTTGTATAGAAAGAATATGGGAAGGGTAATAGGTATTGTTTAGTAGAATTTTTAAGTAGGAAAGCTGGAGATAAATAGAGTCTCAAATGGTGAGGCACTTCCTGTGTCCAGATGAAGCACTTCCTGTGTCCAGATGAAGCACTTCTTGAGTCCAGGCAGGTGCCAGCTTGCAGTCACATGAGGGAGCACTTGAGTGGGTCTTGATGGGCCATTACTAGGAATATGAAATGACACAGAAAGCCGCCATAAACAAGTCTGGCACTTAAGGACTGATGGCCTAGCCCTTCTCGTGTGAAAGTTTAGACAGTTCTCTAGATTATTCAAATCAAGGAAAGATTACTGGGTGAATAACGCCTTCATGGTGGTTTCCTTCAGGGTACACCTGATTATTCCTTTGCTGAGATCAAATTCAAAATGCTACAGGGCATTTTAATTGTGTGCTCTTATTTCCCCAGCAAATGAGTGAGTTGTGGAAATGGTAGGGTTCTATTTTATTGTGGATGAGTCTACAGACCCTCAGCACCCAAAATGAGAGATGCTATATTGAACATTTCTCCCCAAAATATTTTACACAAAACTTCAAAAGTCCCCAGCTGTTTGGAGACTCCTGGCCTGTTTTCATGGCAGTAAGGTTTTGCAAAAGCAGAGTCACTTCTTGGCATGATGGTGGAGCCAAGAGATCACCCACTCTTCATTTATAAAAACTGTCAAAACTGAGTGCTCTACTCCCCCCCGCCCCCCCACCCCCTGCCCCAAGAATTAAAATGATCTCTAAGAGAATCAGCTGAAGAATAACTCACAAAAGGGGAGGCTTTAGCATCACGCCAAAGAGAATGGTGAAGGAAGCTGCACATTGGTCTATAAGATTAGAATAAATTATTCATTGCTTTTAAATATTTTATCATCATTGCCTTGAATGGTAGGTACATGAATTAGCTTTCTGTTAACTGTTACAAATACTTGAGATAATCTAGTAAAAGGAAAGACTTGTTCTGGCTCACACTTTCAGGGTTTTCCTTCTGGCTTGTGGTTAGGCCATATCATCTGATGGAGTGGATGGTGGAGGAAGTCATCCGCCTCAGTGCCTAGACAGAAGGACAGAGGAGAAGATGTCAAGATCCTTTTACCTCCTTAGAGGTCATACTCCCATAACCTCAGACCTCCCTTTGGGTCCTCCCTCTTACAATTCCCACCACCTCCCAATCACACCTTGGGTCCTCCCTCTTACAATTCCCACCACCTCCCAATCACACCTTGGGTCCTCCCTCTTACAATTCCCACCACCTCCCAATCACACCTTGGGTCCTCCCTCTTACAATTCCCACCATCTCCAACCACACCACCCTGAGGAAGCAGCTTTGGATGCACGGGCATTTGACAGATGTGCCAGATCAAACCTACAGCAGCAGTGGTAATCCAGCTGTGGCAGTCTGGTTTTTCTTTATTTTATTTCCTCCATTGAGAAGGCAAAATTCTTGGGGCTTTGTATTTCTGGAACAATGTACATAAGTAAAATCAGGGAATGTGCAAGGCTCAGGAACCAGGTGGTACTGTAGAGCTTTCCTTAAGATTATCTTAAAACATTTGCCCTTCCCACTGCTGTCAGGCAGTCTGACCACATATCTCCTGTATTAGTCTAATTTTCCAAAATTACGTGTAAATAAAGGACAAACTCCCTCTTATTTGTAACCAAATCATGAAAGCAATATGTTTGCAGTTAACTGAAGCTGAGGCATGTTAAATCCAATCACAAAGGCCAAAGCCAGGTGAGAGTCCCCTGGGAGGGAATGCAAAGCTCCCTGGTAGATGACTCTCTAACCCGAGTGGCCTGAGGGATTGGCCTGGCCAATCAACTATAGTTGATAAAGTGATACTGTGTACAGATATAGAGAATAATCAAGAAGGTAGATTTTCTTTTGTTTGCTCTTAAATTATGGTAAAACTTACCATCTTAACCAATGTTAAGCACACGATCCCATGGTGTTAAAATTTTCACAGTATTATGCAATAAAACTCTAGAACTTTTTCTCATCATTAAACACTGACCACCTTGACCTGTACCCCATGCCTGTGGCAACCTCAATTCTCCTTTCTAGTTCTGTGAGTATGGATAGTTTGAGTTCCTCAGAGAAGTAGACTCACACAATATTTGCTTTTTTGTGACTCTGTACACACAGTTTCAAGATTCATGTGTGTTGTGCCAAGTGTCATAGTCCCTTCCTCTTTACGACTGAATAACATTCAGGCATATGTCCATACCGCATTTTGTTTGTCATTCACCTGCTGATGAATCTTGGAGTTAAAACTGACTCGTTGATGGGCAATTGAGTGGGTTCATGTTTGGCAGTCATGAACACTACTGTTGTGAACATGTCTGACTTTCTATTGAACCCTGACTTTCTATTCCTTTGGCCATCTACCCGGGAGTGTCCTGCTGTTATATGGTGGCTTTACGTTTAATTTTTGAGGAATCATCAAACCATTTTCCCCAGAATCGACAACACTGCCATGGAAAAATACTGTCCTTATATTTTATGTCAGCAGGGGCAAGCTGGAAATGAGTGTCCATACGAATTTTCCAAAAGATGACCTGGCACAGCCCAGCTGATCCAGGTAAATACTTGGATTTTTAAAAATTCAGACGTCTGCATCATTAAATTCTGCCCAATTGCATGACAATAAAATGAGTAGAACCCTGTGTAGAGGCCAAATTCAAGGTCCACACATCCAGAAATCCAGGTTAGTGTACTGGAGGGCTAGTGCTTAGGCAGAAAGCGGTAAAGAGAATGTGCCTTTTATGTGTATTCGCTTTGCCCTGGTCCACCTCTGTGTTGCCTAGTGTGTGTTCCCTGCTGAAGAGCCTAGGCAACTTTACAAGTTCTCTGTTCTCTATTCATGATCTCTTATCCCAGTTACATGCTAAGGATGATAAGAGGCCAGGATGTGGAAAGGCACTAATTTGGACTCAAAACTCACGAAGTTTTGAAGCACTGTGCATGGCGCCTAGTTAAACTGAATTGTAAATAACAACAAAAATTGTGTTGGGTGGAGACATATTTATGGAAAAACATTCTGCAAGGTGGACCTAAAACTCAAATTTAGCTGTGTATTCTGTTTTCTTTTTGTTCACTAAATCTAACACGCCTAGGCAGTTCACACTCATGTACAGGTAGAAAAGACAACCAAACGGAAATGTGGCGTCACTAGGGGGTGCTGTAAGAAATGAGAGCGAGGCCATTCTGGAAATGAAGAGCACCTCCAACTCTACAGACAGGGAAGACCACAGGGTGATGTGGGGAGCCTCAATCAGAGCCCCAGAAGTGGTGGGGACCAGCCAAGCAGTCAGGGCCATGACATAAATTCAGGTTCAAGTTCAACCGCCCAATCCACAATAGCAGAATCTATACCTGGCTGTTTGGACACTGACCACAGCAACCACAAAGGGAGAGTACGAGCAGCTTCCAAGGACATCTGAGCTTTCCAGGTACCCTGCCAAAGGAAAAACAAGGTGGCTATTTGAAAGCGAAGGATCTAACAGTTCAGGCCAGAGCCTCATTTAATCTCATTGTTATGGCTCGTTGGTTACCCCACCACCAGCGTGCATATGTACGCAAATATGTACACAGATTCCCAGGGAACATTCCAAGTTCACTGGACTTCTCTAGAACAGAAAACACATTGCTCAGGTACCCTCTTCAACTTTCCAAAGTAGCTGGCTGCCTGTTCTACTCTGTCCTTTACAGTTTGCCTTCCAACCCAGGCATCATTGACTTGGTCACCTCGCTGAGACCCCCCGAGTCTTCCAGGTATCAAAGAAAATACTTCAAAGTTAAAGACAGCAGTGATTCCAAAAACAATAAATCAGTCAGTGCTAAAAACTAAAGTATAGATAAGTCTTGATAAATACCAAGTATCCATCCTGAACATAACGTTGTAGTTCCCGGAATTTCCCTTTCTATGGTCTTGAGAGAAATAAGAGACTTGAAACACTAATGATCACTTCACATAGGGCCTCTGGGAACTTCATTGTTCATTCTCTTCCCCAAGAAGCTCCATAGCTTTGAAATGGAGTACAGAAGGTCTGAGATGTTATTTACCTGCTATACCTGTATTTCCTTAGATAACAGAAATGGACCGGAAGTCAGGGTGAAGCAATTAAGCTGGCCGAACCCTTACTGTGAACACTTAGTGCACTGGGGTCTCTCTCATTAGAGGAAGAAAACATAAAAATACAAAGTCATAGGCTTATAGAATGATCTGAGCCACATGCTGGGCACAGAACCCCAGGCTTTGGGTTTATCCAGCAGAGGACAAACACTGGCGGGCTAGTGTGAAAATGGCTTGCAGTGCATTGCTCAAATTTATTATTCTTGGGAACAAAACCAGAAAGTGCAAACTGAAATGGGTTTAAAAAAATATTTCAGCCTGATTCAACTCTCCACTGAGAGGGCTGAGAATTTATGGTAATAGAGCAGAAAACAATTGCTCGGAGAGATTTTATAACCCTGCCTATGTGCAGTGATCGCCTATATGATGGGATTTGAGGGTTCTGGACAACAGCTTCCACTGGTGAAGCGCTTGTGCCAGATGGTGAATTAACAAAGGCATCTATGAAAATTTATGAGGAAGAGGAAACACATACACACACACACAAATATGCCATGTCATTGCAATTTGTATTTTAGCTCAGAAGTCTTGCTGTACTGCAATGTTAGTCAATAAGATAACCAGAAAAATCGTTCCGTTCAAAATCATTTTTGCTGTTGGAAGAGTGGGTCCAATTCTGTAGCCAACCCACCAGCAATGCTGGTTAGCTTTTGTGTAGGGATTTGTCATTAGAAACCGATGCGTGTGTGTCACATCCTTTATGACTAGGTCCTGGAAACCTGACAGGGTTGACAAGGGAGTGAGTAAAGGGTAGACATCAGTACAGAGAAGCTAAGGTCACAGTGAGGACATGTTCACGTTGATGGCACAGCATCAACTGTGCGACCACCCAACCCAGAACCTCAGCATGTTTATTCTGTTCAGCACAGGGAAAAGGGTTAGCATGGCTCCTTAAAGGGGCTCTGTAGGTGAGCAGTCTCAGACTGCAGACATCCAGGAGAAGGAAGTTGCAGTTGCTAGTGTTTGCACACACTGATCAAACATTTTTGTTTTGATCAAACACTCATACTGAATCTGACCTGAGGAATGTTTTGCTACTTCCCATGGGTCTAAAGCAGTGGTCCTTGTCAATGACACACATTCACCCAGGGATTCATGCACTCCTTACACTTCCCTTAGGGTCTCCTGACCTCCCCACATTCATGCACATTTCTTCTTTGACTATCAGGATATGCATGTTGAGGTACATAAACTCATTATTATTATTGCAATTTTGTGTTTGAAACAACAAAACAACTATCTCTCCAGACCCATTCCCATCTCATGACTCTGATCTCTGCTGCCCAGTTTCTCTACCCAACTCTTCTCCCTTATACTAAAACAAAACAAACAAACAAAAACACCTGAAATTCCCTAAGTTGAGCAACATGCTCGCCTCTATTGCTTCCCTGGCTAAGTTTCTCTTAGTGAAGGGCTAGTTCCCCGTGGAGTCTTTGAACCTGTTAAGTCTCAGCTAGAAGCATGAGGAAACTTTATCCAACCTTTCAGAACACATGCATCTTCTTTTCTACACCACCACGAGTTCCTTCCTGTGTGTCCCCTAAAATAGCATTAGTGCACTTGGCGGTAATAACTTCCTTTGTGGTCTGTCCTCCCCCAAGTTTTGGATCCCAAGAAGGAAGAAATCATGCCTACTGCTGAAAAGATGTAGGTGCTTAAGAAATATCTGTGAAGGGGATGAACAAGGCCACTTCCCTAGGCTCACAGAGGGCAACTGTTACACATGGAACTCAAGTCCTTGTCTCTCTAAAGGGTCATTTGTTGGCAGGGCTGACTAACATATGTGTTAAGGAGAAAAAGAGTAATAGTCATGTTAGTGACCATGGAGAATCATTATTCATGGAAAATCATTATTCAATAAAAGGCTAAACTCATTAGATAAAATTGGGATGGACCACCATGCTATTCACA